GAAATTTAACAGGTATTTTTGATAAAAATTGACAATTTGGATTGTTTCGTCAATAATCACGATATGTGATAATTTTGGGTGGACCATTAGAAGTACCTGAAATATGTTAGTATTCCAAAATACTTTATTACAAAAAATGTATTTTTTCATATATCGGAAAAACAGGTACCGATTGCGCTTTGCTTTTATTGTCTTTTTCGTTTGCAATTGTTTCATTGTTGTTGTTATTTTTTGGTAGAACATTTTTGTATGACACACTATTCAACATCCCCTTTTATTTGTGGTCGGAATTATATGCCCCTCGACCTGCACATTCAGCTGTGTTCTCATCTCCGCAGTCCATGTGGTAAATAGTGTGGCCGTCGATTTAGTGGCGGATATTTTCACATTCCTCGCGTGGAAGAAGGCGGCAAGCTCCGCGAGATAGTTATTCACCCTGACACATATGTCATCAACTACAGGACCCGACGCCATGATCGTACAATCATCCGCATAAGTTACGATCTCGATGCCGTCTGGAGGGCGCGGAATTCCGGAAAGGTAGAGGTTAAACAGTTCCGGAGATATCACCCCACCTTGGGGAACTCCCTGTTTCACTCTACGAGGCTTGGACTTCTTATTCCGGAATTCCACGTACGACTGGCGTCCACATATATAGTTGACTATCCAACGTTTCAAACTTGGCCGGAGGGTAGTGTTCTCAACGTCCTCGAACAGCGTGGCATGGTTGACCGTATCAAAGGCCTTTGATAGGTCGAGAGCCACCACTACTGTTCTGTGGCACGGCCTGTTCTGGTTGAGTCCTCGACTGATATGTGTGGATATGGCGTGCAATGCTGTTGTAGTGCTATGTAGTGGACGGAAACCGTATTGATGGTTAGCAACTGAATAGCTTCCTCTGATACTGAGGAGGAGTAAGGCCTCGAGAGTCTTTGCTACTGGCGACAAAAGCGAAATTGGCCTGTATGATTCGCCTTTGCTGGCATCCTTGCCAGTCTTCAGTAGCGGGACCACCCTGCCCATTTTCCAGGCTTCGGGAACTATGTGGGTGGCTAACGACAAGTTAAGGACTTTGGTTAAATACTCAACTCCCGGCGTATCCAGTTGCTTCAACATTACCATTGATATTCCGTCCGAGCCCAACGCTTTAGATGACTTAGCGTTTCGGATGACATTCGCAACATCACCCATCCTAAACTGTGGAGGTACATCCTCGGCGGGAAGAGCTCTTATACGACGTAGTACTCTTCGCCTCGCCCTATCACTCTCGGGGTGCTCGACAAATTGGCGGTTAAAACAGCCAGCGCACCTCTTCGGATCAGTCACAGTTACGTCGTTAAATGTGACTGCTGTCCTATCATCCTTTTTTCCAGGGTTCGAGAGTGACTTTACCGTTACAGTTTACTCAAATCGGTTCCAATGTTGCAACACTTCAGATGGTCTAGCCACTTTTTCCGCTTATGATCCTGTACCAACCGGTTGACTTCCACTGTCAGTTCACTGACTCTGGGATCAGTAGGGTTGGTACGTCGGAGCTCATCACGCTCATTCGCTAATCCCGCTGCCTCTGCTGGGAAATTTGGTCTTACTTCGGGTATTCGACCAGCAGGTATATAGCGAGCGGCTGCAGCTTTGATGATGTCCCGGAAAATCCTTTCAGCTACCCGAACATCAGAAGGATTGGGCAGTTCTCTGAAGCGAAGGTTGGTGAACTCTCTGAACTCGGGCCAGTGGGCTTTCCCATGGTTAAGGAAAGTGCGGTGTTCAGAGGTTATGAAATCGGGCGATCTGCTGATGGAGACGATTATCGGGAGATGGTCTGAGCCAAGAGAAATGACGGGTTGCCAAGTCACGTCATTTATCAGACCGGGTGACACGATGGTTAAATCTGGCGAACTGTGACACTCTCCTCTAATTCGGGTGGGGGCATCCTCGTTTACCGTGCAAAATGTGGAGCAGTCAATCTGCTCTGCCAACGCTGATCCCCTCTGGTCATTACCTAGGACGGAATGCCACAACTCATGGTGGGCATTGAAGTCCCCTAGTACCAGGCGGTTATTGCCTTCCAAAAGTGGGCTTATATTAGGCAAGTAACGCGGTTCACAGCTATTAACCGGCGGGATATACACATTAAGCACCTCTACCTCTGTAGTACCACACTTTGCTGCTACCCCCATACACTCCATGTACGGGTCACTAGAGACTAGCTCAAGCGAGATAGGTCTGTATTGAACAGAATGGTGTATCAGGAACGCTAATCCCCCACCTCCACTTCTGGTGCGATCTTTCCTCAATACGTTGTAACCATTGCAACGCTGTAAGCTACAATTTCCATTGAGCATGGTTTCCTGCACCGCTGTGATCTTAATATTCCTCCGATTCATAAAATCCACTATCTCATCAATTTTACCTCGGAGTCCGTTGCAATTGAACTGCAAGAACGATGCATTGTCCGGAATTGGAACAGCAACATGTGGCGTTAAGTGCTGCGGTAAAGGTTGCTGTTCTGGAGACTGCGGGGGAGTTCCATACTTCGACGACTCGAAAGTTGACGACGAGGTCGTGGATTCACTGGGGACTACGTTGGTGCAGCACGAAGCAACATAGTCCCTATCGCTATAGTCTCGCAACCGGGTTAAACCGGAACAATTTCTAAAATGCACCCATCCTCTGCATCCATTACATCGCACCGAGACTGATCTATGGTGGATGGTGTTTTGGCAAACCGTACAGAACCATGGTCCGGGGTTTTCCTCAAGCCCGGCACGGACCAAAAGAATCCGGAGCAAGCATTCCGGGATGTGCTGCTCCCAAAACAAAAAAATAAACAAACACGAACATGTATATACTGGGTTGGCAGCCGCTGGCCGAAACTGGAGTGTTGTTGTTTCGGGTCAATCCGGTGTCGTAGAACCCGCTGCCGTGGGATTGTCCGGTACGGTACATTACCTTAGTGTATCACTCCACCTTCCGCCGTTCACGGAAGCATAGCTGAGTGCTATCGGACGCGTCCACGGGTTGCGGATAGTGGAACGCCCGGTAGATATATCGGGCAGCTGCGAATTAAATAAGCAGTCGCGGACAGCTCAGCGGTTTCTAGGGGGAGAGTCTCGGACCAAATATCCGAGTGCCTTTGATCCCTGGACTCGACGAGGCGACACTGGCGCCCCTAAACTACCCAGTCGACGGCCTGGTCCACCGCAACGGACTCCCTAATGCTGGGGTGTTACGTAAACCGCGCCCATCAGTATTCCAAGGTTTGCAGTCAGGGTACCGACTGTATTAGAACGGTTGCCTCATCGATACCTGGGCGCCTCGACGAGTAACAGGCTTAGTTGCCAAGTCCTTACCATGATATGGAGGCTATGTCATGGCGGACCTCGTCACCTCCGCAGTCCAATATCGTATGGAGAATTTAGCAAACAACAACACAACAACAACCGACAAAAATTCAACCACCTCTTTGGAGGTGTCGACCCAGGCCATGGCCACGGACATGATTTTAACTTCGGGCGGGGACGTGACTCTGCAAACATACAGAGACGTGGTATGCGAGAGCATACAGCGACAGAGTGAACAGCTGTCCGCCCTTCTAGAGAAGACCACTCTGAGGCTCAGCCAAGAGAGTGTGCCCTCCGGTTTTGGGAATGACTCACCCCTCTCTGATGAGGAGCTCGACGTCACCGTCATACCCTCATCTTTGAGGGGTGAGTTAATCCGAAATACTGAAGGGGACACTCAATCTAGTGCCAAAGCGAGGTCAACTCCTGTGGAAGGGGTTCCATCGGTATCTACCGGTGCGGCCAACCTCCGGGTCGAGGAGGGCGTCGTGGAAGGGGACACTGCTACTCCTATTAACCACGACGACTCCGGATCGAAGTAGGGAAAAATAAGGAGGGGATACAAAAGATCGGTGAGGTATTGTAAAAGCTTCATCGGTCGTGATCCCCTACAGATTACAGAGAGGGATAAGGCCCTGATCAAGAGGAACCTAAAGGCAGTACGGAAGTTCGAAAAGAACCATCCGGAACTGCCAAAATGTTCAATTGAAAATGACTTTGCCTCTCTTTTTTCAGACCTCGTCAAGAAGGTAAGTCCGTCTGAGGACAAGCCATCTAACGAGGCTGGGGTGGAGGGCAACACCACTCCAGAAGATGGTAAGACAGCTTCGGCTGTTGCACCGTCAACGGAATCAAGTGCAGCCCACCCCCCCCCCCCCATTTCTAACGCAGGGAAGCGGAAGAAAAAAAGGAAGGACGCCCCTTGCGGTAATGCTGCCCCGGTGGATCCAAAGGAGGCCAAACCCTCTTCTCGTGCAACGATGAAGAGAGGACGGTCAACGGAGGAACCGCGTTTTCTGCGCCAGTAGCTGGCAAGAAGACAGTGGTAAGGCCGGTAGAAACGGCCCCTGTGGACCCTAAGTCTGCCAAGGCTAATTCTGCCACCACCAACCCACAACCTTCGAGCCAGAATTCGAGGAAGAGGAAATATTCCCAAACCCTATACCCGGACAATCTCCGTGTAGCGGTCATCGACCGAGCTGAGCCGGAAGGCAAAATCAGCGAAAGTCCGTGGCTTCTCATTGACTGTATTAGGGAGCAGGTTTTCCTAGGGGATGACCCTTCTAGGTTACAATTTGGCAGTGCTACCGTCTACAAGGGAGTGAAGGTCATCTGCTGCGAAAATGAGGAGTCGAAGGACTTTCTTGTGACCGCAGTAGCTGGCCTTCAAGGACTTTGGGATGGAAGTGCACTTGCGGCTGTATCCCTGAAGGAAATCCCCTGCAGGAGGATATTGACAGCATGGGTGCCGCCGCCCTCTGTAGACCCGTCACGCGTGCTGACAATATTGGGGAAACAAAATCCCAATCTCCGTACGGACAGCTGGCGCTTAGTTGGCTCAAGTACGGAGGGAGGAGGCCTGGTCATAAAGGTATCCGTTGATACTGCTGGCCAGGAACACCTTCAGGCGCGTGGGGGGAAACTGCACTTCGGCACAGGATGGATTCGGTTCCGTCTAACGCCGCTGTCGCAGTAGGAAGAACGAAGCCACAGCTGCTTAACATCGTGCAGATAAATCTGCATCACTGTAAGACAGCAGGGGCTGAGCTTCTCCTATCCCTCTCCAAGCTTGAAGTTGACATAGCCCTGGTCCAGGAACCTTACATCTTTAAGAATAAGGTAACTGGACTAGGGAGTGAGCGGTACATCACCTATGCCACCTCCAACGGGGAAAAGGTTAGAACGTGTATCGTTTCTAGGAAAAACTTAAACTTAATCTACCTCAATAATTTCAGCGGAGGAGACGCCACGGCGGTAAGACTGGAGACTGGGACGGGCAAAGTCATCTTCCTCGTCTCCCTGTACCTACCCTTCGAATACCCCGACCCGCCAGGCCAAGTGGTAGAGGAGCTGGTCACAAAATTGGGTGGAAAAGGCAGTCTCATCGTTGGATGTGATGCCAACGCTCACCACTCTCAATGGGGCAGCAGCAACACTAATGCCAGAGGTGAGTCCTTTTTTGATTTTATTTTAGCACATAATCTCAAAATTTGTAACCGGGGAAAGGAGGCAACTTTTTGTAACAAGAATAGAGAGGAGGTCATAGATCTCACTCTCACTAACATGGATGAATCGCTCATATTGAACCGGAAAGTTTCGACTGACTGCTCCTTCTCGGATCATCGGAAAATAACATTCCAAATTTCGGTAGAGGGATTACATCAAAAACCGCATAGAAACCCGAGAAAGGCTCGATGGGACCAATTTGCAGAGCACACTGCATGTATGCTAAAGTCCATTGGAGATCTTCCAGTGGCTTCTGCATCGGATGTGGACGACTCTGTCAGGTTGCTAACAAAGATCTTGATCGGTAGCTACGAAAGAGCTTGTCCGCTAACCTTCCCGGGAAAAAGGCACCAGCCTGTATGGTGGTCAAAAGACCTAGCCCAGCTCAGGAAGACAAGCAGACGTTTCTACAACAGGGCCAACAAGACCAAACTTAGTACGGACTGGGAAGCTTATAAATCAGCCTTCAACAAGTACAACAGTGAGATCAAGAAGGCAAAAAGACGGTCTTGGGTGTGTTTTACCGAGTCCATAGATGATGTCAACGCGGCCTCCAGATTCCGTAGAGTACTTTCAAAGGATCCAAAATCCATTGGAAGCATAAAGCGGGCTGATGGGAGCTGGACTGACTCAGGTCTAGAAACTCTCAATCTACTAGTCAATACTCACTTCCCGAACTGCTCTGATGCGGTAAATAACCGATCGGGAGATCGGCCTAGTCAGCAGCGTGGAACGGAAGACGTAAGTCTGGTTGATAGAATTGTAAACGCCCCCAAGATCTTGTGGGCCATAAACTCATTCAAACCTTTCAAGTCACCGGGTCCAGATGGCATTTTCCCCGCTATGCTACAGCATGCATCGACGGTGGTAATACCATTCCTGGAAGTGATCTTTAAGGCTTGTTTGCGTCTTTCTCACATTCCATTATTGTGGAGGGAAGTAACAGTCACTTACATTCCCAAAGCTGGGAAGCCAAGTCATGTACTTCCAAAAGACTACAGACCTATCAGTCTCTCGTCCTTTCTGTTGAAAGCGTTAGAGAGACTAATAGACATTGAGATCAGAACTCTAATACCTTTGACATCGCTAAGCACTGCTCAGCATGCCTATATGAAAGGCAAATCCGTTGAATCAGCGCAACACGACGTTGTGGGTTATATAGAGAAGAACCTGAACAGCTCATGTTATACGTTGGCAGCATTCCTCGATATCGAGGGGGCTTTCAACAATGTTACAATTGATGCAATTCATAGTTCTCTCGAAAGACTTAGTGTGCCACCACTTCTCATTGATTGGATTGATGTTATGCTTAGCAGCAGAATCATCAACTCAAGCATCGGGGAGTGCTCTGTTAGGAAAACGGTCACTAGGGGTACTCCACAAGGAGGCGTTCTGTCACCACTGCTTTGGCTTCTGGTGATAAACAGCATTTTACTCGATCTGGAACACAGCGGAACAAAGGTCGTGGCTTACGCCGACGACGTGGTCCTGCTTATTGCTGGGAAGTTTCTGCAAACTGTTTCGGATCTCATGCAGGGAGCTCTAGTTAAACTATCCAGATGGGCGCGCTGCAATGGTTTGGGCGTGAACCCATCCAAAACTGAGCTCGTACTCTTTACAAGGAGACGGAAATTACCTGTCTTCTCTTTACCAAAGCTGGACGGTGTAATTCTAAGCCTTTCTTCGGAAGCAAAATATCTCGGTACTATCCTAGACCAGAAACTAAACTGGAAGAGGAATATCGAAGAGCGAGCGAAGAAGGGCTTAAATGCACTCTATTCCTGCAAAAACTCCATAGGAAAGAGTTGGGGGCTTAAACCCCATATTATCCGATGGATATATGAGTCAATCGTCCGACCAATCCTAACATATGGGGGACTTGTTTGGTGGCATTCCTTAAGGAAAACCACCCTCTGCAAGAATATTGATAAAGTTCAAAGAGTTGCATCGCTACTAATTACAGGTACGGTCAGGAGCACGCCACAATCCGCTCTAGAAACCCAACTTAATTTAAAGCCGTTAGACTTATTTGTAGAGGAACTAGCTGCTAGGTGTGCCCTGAGACTCAGCGAACTGGGACAATGGCGGAGCCAATCCATCGGACACTCTGTCATTCTTAAGTATGTGGAGAATGTAAGTAATCAGGCTATAGCTAGCGACTATATACTCCCTAGGCACAGCTTTGAATTACTCGATATCTGCATACCAAACAGGGATATCTGGTCCCGTGGCACTCCACCTTTTAACGGTATAGCTGTCTATACTGATGGTTCAAAGATGGAAAGTGGAACGGGGGCTGGAGTCTACTGTGAAAGTTTAGGTATCCAACGATCCTTCAGACTAAACAGCGATTGTAGTGTTTTTCAGGCAGAGATTTTTGCTGTCAGAATGGCTATAGAGCTGTTGGAAAACAGAATCGATGAGCGGAACGGACCGGTGACTATATATGTCGATAGTCAAGCGGCCCTAAAAGCTCTAAATTCTTTTATAATCAAATCTAAGGCTGTTCTGGAGTGCAAAATTGCCCTGGAAAAGGTAAAGTCGTTTGTTAAGCTCTGTTGGGTTCCTGGACACTGCAACATTTCTGGCAATGAATCTGCCGATGAATTGGCCAGACGCGGATCTGAGTCAGTAGATCTAGAGATTGAGACCTCAGTGAAGCCACCTTTATGCCACTTCTTTCAAGTACTTCATAATCACTATCTTGGGAGATTTCAACAAAACTGGCTATCTGGAAGGGGATGTAACATCTCCAAAAAGATTTGGCCAGCGAACTCAGAAAAGAGATCACGGTCACTCACATCCATGACGAAGTTAGACCTGAAGCTTGTGGTGGGTCTAATTACAGGTCACTGCAACATAAAGGCCATGACTTCAAAATGGGGGGGTGACGACACTGAATACTGCAGGCTTTGCCAAGATGAGGAAGAAACAGAAACGGTGGAACACTTACTCTGTCACTGTCCTACCCTGATCGTGGTAAGACATAGGCTTTTAGGTAAGCAAATTCTGCCGGATTTGTCATGCCTCTCCGAAACCGAGCCAGTAGTCATTCTTCAGCTAGCCAGAAGACTAAAATGGCTAAGGACGACACGCTGACTATAGCGTGGATGCAAACCCACTAACTCTTCTATTTCCTATCTATTCTACTCTAACCTCCTAACTTCTTTCACATTCACTTCTATTCTAAATTAGGATGATCACAATGGACCACTAGGTCTCCGAGTGGAGTGGTTGTTTTTATGCAACCACACATCCTTTAACCTAACCTAACCTATCACTCCACCTTGGAACGGTACAGAACACTAAGGTACAGTACCATACCAAGCCAATTTAAGATCTGCACATTTTAAATGTTCATGCTTATCGCATAGCCAACATGGTAGTAAACGTTCTTTAAATTAATAATTTTGCAATTTTTATTCAAGCACTCCATGTTAATTCGAAATACTAAAGGAAACAGTGTGGTAATCAATTTACAGTAACAGCCTAAAAGTATGCTTAGATACATACAGAACAGCAAAAGGAATCAGGCACAAACGTCAAAAAAAAAAAAATAACACTACGTTGTAAATAACAAATACAGAAAAGAATATAAAACACCAATGATCAATGTGCACAAAATTAAATTTAGTATAATAGTATATAATACTTATTTAACAAAAACTTCACACTTTTACAAACTATTTAATTATATTTTAATTTGTTTGACGACACACAGGAAAAAACTTGCATGGTAAAAAGAAATGGAAACAGAATTTCAAAAGTTTTTTGATCAAAATATGTTATTTATGAGGAAGTAAAAATATATTATGCATCCTCCAAGTGTTTATTTTTTTCCTCGTTTTCGGACTCAGAGGATGAGTGGCATTAATAAGGAAAAATGCCGAAGTACCCCAGTTCAGAAATGTTTTGCAGGAAAGATTAATAATTTAGTAAGTTAGGTAAGATTAATAATTTGCTATAACTATAAAACAATATAATAAAGATAAATTTCACAATTTCAGATTTGCTCATTAAATTTGTAGTAATAGTTTTAATTCTATTCATTTCATTGCAAAAGGTTTCATTTCCCCCGCAATATATATATATATATATATATATATATATATATATATATATATATATATATATATATATATATATATATATATATATATATATAGTTTAATTTATTGAATCCTTCATATATTTTAATGAAAATAATAATGTTTCAATACGAGGTTGTCAATACAATCACCCTATATTTTTTCATGCTTTAATTATATGATTACTTATAAGGATACTTACTTATTATATTATCAAATCTGGCTACTGTAAGGACTACATTCAAAAATGATTCTAGAACTTAGGGTGGAAATACATAAAGAGCATATTTGGCTGGCTTACGCCTTTGTTCATTTCCGAAGAAGCCAGCCAGTCACCTTTATTCAAAATCACCAAATACGTTTACTGGGATTGTTTAGCACATATTTTACAATACGAAATTCAAACATAGATCACATTAAACATTTTCAATTTCTATAAATTTTTATAAAACCCAGCTAGGTATCGGAATACATTTTTGTTATATCCATCTAAACGACTTTGACCATTTACGCAGCCACAAATCTCATATAAATCCATATCATCTTCCTGAAACCAATAGTTCTTTAACTTGCTTTGTTCATCAAATCTTAATGTATTTAATTGAAAAACGCCAAAATGAAAAGAACAGCCATCAGTCTGGATACTTTGAATAACAATTGGTTTTGGTAAAGTTTCTATGTTAGTGTTCTAAAAATATACTTGAGTTAAAAAAATATTTCTAATAGCCAAGAGTATTTTCACATATACCCCATATATTTGTTTTGCCCTTGCTGCGGCGACTGCAAAACCAGCAAGTAGGGTTCGACTTTGAAACTGTGATTTCGATACATTTGTGCCATGGATGTTTCGTAATTTTTTTTTGTCAAAAAATGTTATTACAGTATGTGGATGCGAATAACTTCCTAGGTTTATTGCTGTAAAAAAAGCTGAATTACTAAACACAAAGAAATTTTATGTGAATATTACTTACGAAATTTAGTTTTGGATGGGTAGCCATTTTCTTTTGATAAAGAGATTGTATTTTTAGTTGGATATAGATCTGGCATCTCTGCATCGAAATTTCCTCTTAGTGGTTCTATAGTTTTACAACAAGTAATAATTTTATTCGCCACAACGTTCATTTGGATTCGATATCCATTTTTGGGTAATGTCACTCCATAATCTACTTCGTCAAGGATACGCCGTTGTCCTGACACTTCAGAACTTGCCAATTTTTCACACTCATTTAAAAATGTATTTATTAGTATATGACTGAAAGAAATAGAAAATTATCAATACAACCAATATTATCTCACATGTTTAAATATACATTTTTACTTATTTTCTCGTTTATTTCATTTCTGCAAAATTCAAGAGAGAAGCAAAGTAGTGGGACTAATCATTAGCTTTCGAAGTAGCGCCCACTGTAATTTTATTACGAGACTATTTCCTTTTTTACATGTGATTCTGTTTTTTAACAAACACAAGATGTTCTTCCTGTTCAAGGCAAATAAAAATAAATTAAACAAAGAGCTGTTGAAAATAATACGTCATAGAAGATTTAAGTTCGGAAGAATAGAGCTCTTTACTCGCTTTTAACGCTTCATAATAAATTACAAACGACTCGGTCACATAATGTGGGAATAAATCAGAGTCCATCCGCCTTACGAGGAACATAGTTGATTGTTATCCCACAACCCGCGTCCAGAGGTTGTGGTGGATTATGGAAATGAAAGAAGGAGTTCGAACAGTTCAGTGGAGAGTATTTTCTTAAATAACCGAGTAACTGTGAACTGATGAGGCGATGTTTCGGCGCACCTAAAATTATCAAACCTTTGTGCTGGTTCTTGCATAAAGAGGACGGCTTAACCTGGGGGCGCGACCACAGGCCTATCAGGGTTAGAGATCTGCAGTCAGGGTGACGAAGGTTCCTCGAGAATTGGGAGCCTCAACGAATACATATTAGGTTTGGTCAACATCTTATATTAACTATTTGTATATAGTTATTATAAGATATTGGTCATATTTGAAATGTTTTTATTACCTAGTATATAAATGAAACGATATGGAGCATATAGCACCATCGACCTAAGTCTCTACACAAAAAGAACAAGTTAAAAAGCAGTAATTTCGGTCGGGCCGAATTTTGAATACCTTCACCATTTGGAAATTTTCAAAATTAAAATCCCTAAAAAAATCAGTTAAATTTTTAAAAATACCGAATATAGCCGTTTTATTGAGGTCTAAGTCATAAGTCATTACTATATTAAACGGCGAATAATATAGCTAAAATCATCCAAATATCGTATATAGGGAGGACCGTTATATCGAAGACAATTTTCCTGCATAGACAATTTTCTGTCACAGGCTGTAGCATACGACATACCAAACAATTTCGGTGGGTATTGTATCTAAACTCGTCAATAGGCTGTAGTATCGAACTTCAAACACCAAACTTGAAACAATTCCGGTAATAATGGTGCTAAAATCATCAAAATACCTAATATAGGGAGGTACCTTTATATGGTGGCTATAACAATACGTGGACCTGCACAGACAATTTTCTGTCTTAGGTGGTAGTTTCCATTTCGAACTTCAAATACCAAATTTGAAACAATTCCGGTAAATAATGTCTCTAAAATCATCAAAATACCGAATATCAGGAGGTGCCGTTGTATGGGGGCTATACGAAGACGTGGACCTGCATAGACAATTTTCTGTCTTAGGCGGTAGTATCTATTTCGAACTTCAAATGTCAAATTTAAAACAATTCCAGTGAATAATGTCGCTAAAATCATCAAAATACCGAATATCGGGAGGTACCGTTTTAACAAAAATTCCTACCCCCACCAAACATAGCAAATTCAAGTTCGACAATTTTAAAAGTGGACAATGTTTTGACATTGGACTTGATTAACAAAAGCAACAGGAGTAAGAATAGCGTGAGAAAGAGGACATGGATACTAAGGCAATCCATTCCTCTGCCGCAAGTCACAAGACATCACCCGAGGAAGACTCTAAGCCTGCTAACTGCTAACAAGTAAAAAGCAGATACGATCGACCGCGCCCAACCTGTAAAGAAACTTGCAATATGTAAAAAGTCCGTTAAAAAAATCACCCTAAATTTTAAAATTCCGAGTATCAAGTGTTACAGTTGCGACTATAAGAGGGTGGGTGCGCCTATTCTGTTGGAAAATGTATCTAACATCATAGAAATGCCGAAAATAGGGAGGGAACCGTTATATGTGGGCTATACAGAGACGTTGATCTGCACAGGCAATTTTCTGTCAGTTCTGTCCAAATACTATGTTTGATACAATTTCGGTGATGTGGCGCAAATCATCAAAATACCGACTGTTGGGATACAGTACATGGGAGACTATACCTAAACTGCCCATGTAGATGGGCTGCCTATTTGTAGTAAAATCTGTTAAAAATATGGCTGAAACCGCCAAACCCTTCAATCTGGCGGTTCAGTTATATGGGGGCTATATTAAAATGTGAACCTATATCTCCCATTTTCAATACCAATACCAAACTACCAAACTAAAATGCATCTTAACAAAATTTTATCAACCTATTTCATTTCTTTCAGAAGCTGGAGTGATTTCCACAAAGGGTAGACTGACAGACGGATGGGCACGGCTAAATCGACATAGAATCTTATGCTGATCAAGGGTCTTATTTCGAGGAGTGCCAATCGGAATGACAAACTTTATTGCGTGTTATGTTTGGTGTATTGTTCTCCCAATAGTCAATTGTCTGTATCTTTATAGTATTTTCCTGAAGATAAAAATCAAATTTATAAAAAAACACTGTTTTTTAATTGACCTCAAGCCAAAAATAATGTTACAATTATATACAACAGGTACACAATAAAAACAAAACAAAATTAATAAAAAAAAATATTGGCATACATAGATATAAATAATGAATAAAAATATCCAGGTTTAAAATCCAGCTCCTATTGAAATTAGCCTTAGCCTTTCAGTGCAACTGTTATTAATAAATGACAGCCACGGCTAAAATAGCACATGATCAGCTATTTAGCTCAGCGCATAGCTGTTTTATTTTGGCCGAATGAGTAGCCGAAAACATATGTTTACGATTGTGTGTTGTCAACGTACAAATTAATAAAACACGTACATATGTAGTCGAGCTTGTCAGCTAATTTAAGTTTATTTTTGAATTGTAACTTATCAACATTTTTTGTAAATATATTGAATATCTCACAAAACTAAAATAAATTTATAGGATTCAATAACATTTGCACATTGTCTATATATGAAAATACCAAATAGATAAAATTTCGATGTATATCGCATTTCATACGACGTGAAATTTTTATAAGCAACACTGAACTCACAAATGATAAATGATAAAAAAAAAAAAAAAAAAACGTTGCTGTGAAAAAAGATCTGCCAATAGAACTTGAGTCGAACCTGGAGAGTTTCTAGTGTATAATTCGCATATGCTAATTTGCAATAAGTTCGAAATATATACTACTTTCTAGAGAACGGCCCTTGTAAGCCATCATCCACATCAAATATGCCTGATGAGCCGCGAAACGCGTCGCATAGTGGTGAGTGTGTGATAGTGTCTATCTGGCTTTCCTTTTCACTGCAAATTTCAGATCATTAAGCTCGTCTCGAAAGAGAAAACAAACACTTAGATAATTTGTTTTTGTTGGCTAAAAACCGAGCTAAGCAGCAGTCATCTTGCTTTTTTGGTGCTGACCTATTTTGATGCTAAAGCTAATTTCACTTTTAGCTTCAACCGCTCACTGCTATTTTGCCTTTGCTGTCGATTTCAAGTAGCATTAGTTCTCTGGGATTAATCTTTTTTTAACGTGTTGCTATTTATTGGCGTAGTTCATTGATGTGCTACATTATTTGAAGATTTTTTAGCAGTCAAGGCTGAAAATTTTCTTCATCAGCGTAAAACACAATATCGATACAGGTTATGTGAAATGGGCCATGTCGGTCCAAGTTTTCGTATAAAACAGGTCCAAGGCCCATATAACAGTATTCTGTTCCCGATTTTCAGCATTCTGTTGATTTTAGCCACATTTTAACATTCGGCACTTGGGATTTGTAATGGGTTCTTACTCCTGTGGCAGATGTATATATAGGTCCAGATTTTCATATAGGTAAAGTTAGCTCCCGATATGCGTTATTTTGATGATTTTATGCACATTTTCTAACGGAATCCTTTTACATTTGGTACTACGGGCAGGTATAGGTTCACGATTTTCTATAGCCCCTATATTTCGGTACCTCCAGATATTCGACAATATAGGTCCAGATTTTCATATAGGTAAAGTTAGCTCCCGATATGCGTTATTTTGATGATTTTATGCACATTTTCTAACGGAATCCTTTTACATTTGGTACTACGGGCAGGTATAGGTTCACGATTTTCTATAGCCCCTATATTTCGGTACCTCCAGATATTCGACATTCTGCTGATTCTAGTCACATTCTTCAAGACAATAGTTTAAAATTTGGTATCTAGAGTTTTTCATGGGTCCTGTCGTTTGCGGCACAAGACTGCTGGAAAAAGCCAAGGATTTCTTATATCACCCATATGGCGGTATTTCCGAATATTTGTTATTTTTGAAATTAACAACTCGCAATAAATAGCTGTATCTGGAAACCATGTCACCGACATTATGGGATTTTGGAGATTCTTTATCAAACGATTTCACTGGCAAAAATGAAAGTGGACCCAATTTTAAAGCCCGGAGAGCTTCGGACTAAATATCCTAGTGGCTATAATCCCTGGAATCGATAAGGCGAAGCTACTGGCGCCCCAACCAGTGAACGGAATGGTCCACCGCAGTGGACTCTCTAACGCTGGGGTGTTACGTTAATCGTGCCTATCAGTGTTCCAAGGTTTGCAGAAGTCAGGGTACCAACTGTATTAGAACGGTAACCTGGTCGATACCTAGGCGCCTCGACGAGTAGCAAGCTTAGTTGCCAAGTCCTTACCATGATATGGAGGCTATGTCATGGCGGACAACGTTCCACTGTCCAAACCTCTTATGGAAAACGAAATAAAACTAAACAAAAAAATACAAAACCAACCAATGGCAATTCTTCAAACGCCTTGTCAGAGGCGTCGACCATTGTAACGACCACGGACATGATCTAAATGCGGGTGTGGACGAAACATTTTTCACGTACAGAGACCTAGTTACCGAGAGGGAAAAGACAATTATCAGGGTGAACCTGAAAGCAGTGAGGAAGTTCGAAAAGAACCACCGCTACTGACTAAGTGTTCACTTGAGAAAGATTTTGCCTCTCTCCTGGTCGATCTTATCAAGAGGGCGAGCCCGTCTGCGGACGCACCCTCGGATAAGGGTACCGTGGAGGACAGGTAAATTATAGTTGATGAAACTACAACTCCTGCCGTTGTACTACAACTGAATCAAGCGCTGTCCCCACCAAATCCATACCACCTGCGAAAAAAATGCAATAGGCAGAAGAAAAAGCCCGAAGGTACAGTTGTCTCAGTCAAACCAAAGGAGACCGAACCCTCTTCTCGTCCAACGTTGAAGAAGGGAGATCAACGAAGGAACCGCACCCTGAGGCAAAGAAACCGTCAACAGGTGAACCCCCGCTTTCACCTACAGTTTCATCCTTTCAGGCCGTCAGCAAAACAGTAGTCAAGCCTGTTAAGGCGACTAGCGTAGCAGTCATCATCCCCGCGTAGCAGTCATCGATATTGCTGACCCGGAAGGCAAAATCAGCGAAAGTCGGTGGCTGATCATAGAGGACCGTCTGAGAGAGCTGTTCTTTCTTGGGGAAGATCCCATTAGGTTTCAGTTCGGCAGCGCCACCCTTTACAAAAACTTCCTCGTCACCGTAGTAGCTGGCTTCCGCTGAAGTTGACATAGTTCTACAAAAAGGTGACTGGTCTGGGGAGCGAACGGTACATCACCTACGCCACCTCCAACGGGTATAAGGTTAGAACGTGTATCGTCTCTAAAAAGAACTTGAACTTAATTTTCCTTAATAATTTCAGCGGAGAAGACGCCAATCTGGACATCCACATACCTAGCAGACACTTGGACCCGAAACACTCCACCTTTCAGCGGTATAGCTATGTATACCGGCTCTAATATGGAAAGTGGAACGGGTGCAGCTGTTTTCTGCGAACGCCTGAATATCCGGAATTCATTCAAACTCAATAAAGACTGCAGCGTATTCCAGTTTAACAATACTGACTACTGCAGGCTTTATCAAGGCGAGGATGAGATAGAAACTGCGCAACATTTACTCTGTCACTGTCCAACTCTTTTTAGAGCCAGACTGAGGCTTACGGGTAAGCAAACTCTATATGATCTGTCTTCACTATCCAATACTGAGCCGTCAACAATTCTTCAGCTACAAGGAAGACTAAAATTGCTAAAGACAACACGATGAATTCTTCGTGGATACATCTTCTCTAACATAATATTTTTCTCTCTCTTCATTTCTTTTTTCCACTCTATCAGGATGATCACAATGGAAAACCGCACATCCTCTAATCCAACCTCATCTACACTAAATATCAGACGTATTATGTTGGTCTCAATGATGATACTGAAAATATGTTATGTCTTCAGAATTCCGAAGAATTGATATTCCTTTTAGATGTAGAAGATACTATCAATTATAATATACCGATTGTAAACGCACTAATTATTCAACGGGTGAACCTCTTTGTAAGACTTGTCTTGACCTTAATTCAGTTTACTGCAATGTAGATTTTAGTATAAGTTTAGAAATTATTTAATCCAGAACAATTTAATTTGAAACGTTTTATTATTTTGTAAACTAGCTGATAAAGTAGATTCTGTACCTGGTTTTCGATTCTCTACTAAATTTCCATAATGATGCGTATCGTTATGAGTAAGCGATCCCAACAAAAGGGGGTCACCCTCTCGTTCGACAGAGTTGGGAGGGTGGAAAAAATGCAATTGGATTTAGTCGAACCAAAATGACAGTAATACGGAAAAAATAAACGAACAAACATTGCAACCACCACAAAATATTTAACACAGAAAACGTTAGAACATTGTTTCCTTTCTGAAAAGATTCTGAAATGAAACATAGCTTGCGAGACAGATGTTACATGATCAATTACAATGTCGTCCCTAATTTTAATCGCTCCCGCAACCCCCAAAAACTCCTTAGACTTTTGGCCGCCTGCAATGTTTTCCAAATAGGACAAAGTATTAAAAACGTCTGTCGTGAGTACTCTGAAGTATCAGAACTCCATAGCCGAGATTAACGGATAAAGGTGAAAAATATCAAAGCATTCAGAAAAATTTTATTTGCTAAATAAGTAGACACTGTGCCAGTGAAAATAGTACCACACCTACACTCAGTTCCTCGCAAGGCTTAATATTCTCCGAAAAAAATCAAATCTTTACCCAAGAGGTAATAGAAATTTGGCGGAATATTAAGTAATAGGTGTAAACAAATTTATGAAAATGAATGGAAACCAACAAGAGGATCCGTGATCACATTTGGCCTCTTACACTCTCCGAGTCACACAAGCAAAAGTTATCCAAAGAACTACTTAATTAAACTCCCAGCTAAATGCAGCTCTATTTGCACGTAACAGTCAGCGTCAAAAATACCCTAAGTAACACAAATCACAATACGAATGAACCATCATCTTCAAATCTTATTTCAATCAGCAATCACTATCGCACAATTCAAGAAACAAATCATCAATTTAAACAATTTAGTTACATCTTTCTCTTCCCAAATACACAAAAAAGTCATCAAATGCAAATTCAGTACAAACATCATCATTAACATCTCTTAAACCACAAATCAAGAAAATAGGAAATCAACACTATGCAGGAAAACTAACATTATTGAACAAATTGTACACAAATTTACTTAAATAAGTGACAACAATTCATCAATTTTGGCCAAGATCTCATTAATGATTATAAATCTACTTCATCAAGCAACCCTTACCAAGAACCGAAATGTATATCTATTATTTCTTCCAGGCTACAAAGTATAACATAACAACAAAAACTACGCTGTCAAAAACAATATTAATGTTTCCAAAAACAGCATTTCTTCTGAAAATTTATTATTTCAGTCAACAACATTAAATTATCGATCTCCCTTTCACATAACCAATGCGTCAAGCTCTTTTACAGGGTGATTTAAGCGTCCAGAACACCATATAAGGCTCATCTGAGTCCTCTAATGAGGTCTCATATGGAAATAGTTTTTTCATACTCATGGTTTTGTCATCCTCAACGACGGTTCCCTACTGTTTTAAGTATTTGTCCTTTGACCTGGAAAGGAGTTTGTACCTCCAATAAAAGTCTGGAGAAATTTTTCAAATTTGTGAATGCTCTGCTTATAAGGAAACGTTATGGCATGTACCGTCTAAGAAAATGTAGATTGGAGAGATTGGAGTAAAAATTTTGTGCGAAACAACTACTATACATGCTGATGTTAAAAAGGCTTCGGAAGAAAATAAATGTCAA